TTACCATATGAGTATTTGTAAAGAAAGCAATTTAATTATCCTCATATATTACCTTTGTTTCGTAACTTTGAAGAGTAGAGAATCATTGTTTTTTTCTTCTTTTGATTGAAGCAAAATACAAACACATGAAACATTTCTCTTTCTTTGTTTTATATATACTTTTATTTCCCTTAATGATAAGTTCGTTTTTTAAGTAACTGTTAGCAAGTATATTACTGCCACAGAGGGGAGGATTTAGGAGGAGGCGAGGGTATTCATGAGAATTTGCTCGGAAAAAAACTTACGTAATCCTCCGTAGGAAGTTGGGGGAGCAATACATATAGTCTCACCATTTTAGAGTCTATTTTGGACATTTAGGGACCAATTTACTGGACTTGGACGGTTTTATCAATTTTTCGAATGTGTTAGCCCATGAATATTTTGGTGATATGGCTTCTGGACAAATTTTTTTTGAGAAACCATTACAGAACCTTGCGTAGGGAACCCACTGTAGGAAGTTGGGGGAGCCATACATACAGTCTCGCCATTTTTAGAGTCCATTTTGGACATTTAGGGACCAATTTACAGGAATTAAGCGATATACTCAAAAAAAAATTATGTAATAGCCCATGAATATTTTGGTGATATGGCTTCCAGAAGATTTCTTTGTGAAACCTTTACGAAACCTTCCGCAGAGAGTTGGGGGAGCAATCCGTACAATCTTATCATTTTCAGAATCCATTTTAGACATTTAGGAATTACATTAAAGATAAGACAAATCCAGCTTGATCTTGTTGTGTAAATGCTTTTGTAATCAATCGTACAGATTCTAATCTTATTAATTATGCAAAATAATAAGACAAATCGTTTAGATTCAAAAATAGATAATAAATTCGCTTCTTTATCCTTCTTCACTTAAATTATATATTAAATCTACGCATCACATGTTGCGCTTTTACCATTAGACCAAAAGCCTGGAAGGCACACAAATTAATTGGAACTAATGAAGACTTAATTTTTTTTAATTAACCCAAATTTTACTATACACAACCATCTTTTAAATTAGAAAATATTGGTGCAAAGCAAGTATCGTCAAACATTCAACACTTAATTATTATTACATAAACCTTACTCTTAACAATGTGGAATGCACCATAAATATAATGTCATGGTTCAGTATAATATTGCAAAGATGGACAAATTCAGACAGTTTTTTTAACTCATATTTATGTATCATGTACTAATTATTCTCAGACCCTGTCTTTATAGACACTTCCATTTTAAAATGGGTGCAAAAGCGGAGTTAAAATTTTAATTTGATGAGATTTGAATTTTAAAATAATGAATTCAAGTATTAATAATTAAATTCTATATTTAATAAAATTTTCAACACAACTGGAAAAAAAGCATTGGACTCGATCGAATCCACGCAGCCAATTAACTTCTACCTCCGCCGCCGTTGTTCACGTGTATGTGTCGTGAAGTGTAGCACTTAAAAGGACGAAAGTCGTACAGTGAATGGACAACATGTGAATATTCTTGTATTATTCTTTGTTAGTTTCGAGAAAAAGAGGAGGCTAGGTTAATCAAAAAATAATTATCGATTTAATAAGTAAAAAGGGGTGGATGAGTCCATAACTAAACTTTTTTTTTTATTTTCTTTTGTGTTGTATGTGCAAGACACTATCAATATCATGCTATACCAATTTATCCTATAGCCTTCGATCCAATATTGCTAGTGTACTAATTGCCCTAGTACCTATATGGATGCAAAAACATATATACTATAATTGCATAAAACAAAAATTACCTTTTGACACAAGTTACTATATTACTCCATATGTTATTGATAAGACATTTGTGCATATGCCTATTCAGCTCCCATTTCATATACTTAAGCATGGTGATTATATAATTTGATTGAATTAATTAAAGCCACTCTATTTGGATTCAGTTTTGATTGTGTCTTTTTCCTTTACCGTAGAGTCGCAGGTATAAAAGAGAGAAAATTTTAGAAATAACGAACATAATAGATATAATAAAGCTTTATAACTATAGTTTTGATAGTTGCGCTCCATATCTATAGTTTCGTTTGCTATGGAGACTGCGGTTTGTATATTTCAGCCCGTTTGTATACTTCGCTTGCGAATATACAAATATGGTAAGTATATATAAATTATGTATTTATACATTTAGGAATTTTCAAAACTCTGTTTGTATATCTCGCTTGCCAATATACAAACATGATAATTTATTATGAATTTTTTATAAATCGTATACAAATAGCCAGGGTAAGCATATACAAAATTCTAAATTTATACAATCAGAAACCGAATTATACATTTTATGGATTTATACAAATTAGGGGAATTATAAAAAATCAGGCGAATAACAAGAATTAGGGAAATTGTAGCCGCGAATTACAATTTTCTTAAACTGTAGCTATAATACCTAATATAGGCTAAACATTTGTTATTCTACATAATTTTGCCTATAAAGATTACAAAATTTATATTTTAATTTGCTACCAAAGCACGTATTTTGATGGCTTAAAAGAACAAGCCAAAAATAAAATAGGATAGTTATGGCCCTAAATAGTTAAGACTAATAAGTTTATAAAACATATACAATGTATATATATTGTATATTTTATACTAATAAGGATATATATGTACTACATATAATATACATTCTTTTGACTATACTAGAGATGAATTACGATATTCAATCCTTTCAAATAGAACTTGGTTGGGAACTGAATATTTGATGGGAAAAACAGTCAAGCAGTCAGATTCGATTAAAGAATAAAGAAAATGAGTCAAAGTTTCAAGTTATCTATACACAAGATAATGTATATGTTGTGTATATTTCGACGAATATAAACTAGTTGGCTGAACTGTATATATCCATAACTTTTTCAAATAAAAATTAGATTGACCATCTGTTATTCAATTAAAACTAGTAACATTTTCAACGCAAAACTTATATATTTGATGTCTTCCTACAATATTAAATTCTAATCTATAATTTCAAAATTCAAAACAACAAAATAGATTATTTCGAAATTAAACTTTAAAAAGCAATCATAAAAAACAACCATTTGGATTTGAATTGCAATTTCTTGAATACAGAATTGAACAATTTTCATATATGATATGAATTATCGGACCTATTTCAATCGTATAAGCAGTTTTATAATTAAAAAATAGTTTAACTCATTAAATTTAAATTATTTATTCATTTATGGTAATCAATACATTTTCACTACGCCCCACTACGAAATTTGCCTTCAAACGTTGACTTTGAGCAACACATTATGAACACTATTCTTAACTCTAGAAAAAGAGTATTTACTTTCTTCAATATATATTTAATTACTTTGTTAATTTCTTCCAAATACCTAGTAAATAAAAGATATCATATTTATGAAAAAAATAGTTTATTTTAGATAATATAGTGAGAAGTGAGACAGACCTTTAAATACTTAAAATATAGTAATTATTAGAAAGTGGATTTCCTCTTGGAATAATTTACCCCAATAGCAGAAACACACGAGTTGACTTTAAAACTTTTATTTTTCTCAATTTTAGTTGAAACATGATGAATAATTCCTTAAAAAAAAAAAATTATTTCTCATTAAGAGATAGCCAATTTTGCTCCTTAACACTGGCTAAATCTATTAGTGGACTTGGCTATTTTGCTTTAATAATTGATATAGTGCAATTATATTTCTTCTTTTTTGGTGATTTGTCTACTCACATAACATTAATATAAGAGTAAATTCTTGTCTAGTTAATACCTTAATTTTCCCATTAGTCTTATTAGGGACGGAGCTAGTATCTTGTATGTAGATTCGATTTACTTTGTTTAAATAATATATTTGTGTTAATAAGTTCATAAAAAATGTATAAATATTAAATTTAGACTCATTTATTATCACTTAAAATTTATAAAATTGAAATTCTAGTTATAGAATGTTAAGTGCTAACGCGTTTACCGGGACTAGTTAATTGTCATTGGATCCAATGTTGCTATATGCTTTAGGAATAGTATTTACTAAGAGTGCTAATTACCGTAAAAATACATATTTAGTGACAATTAAGCTATTACCGTTAATTAAGTGCTGCTAAAAATCATTTTTGGTGCAGTGATACTACAATTTTAAATTCGTTCTTGGGAATCTTCCAAGATATTCTTTAATTTTTGCAATCTCATTTTAATATAGTATTTAATTTATTTTAACCATCGTTAAGAACTTTCCTTTAGTTAATTAATTTATTTTATCGTATCATAAAAACTTATTCAATTTTATCATCACTATAAATTATAATGCAACACCCCCAACCCGCACACCACACCGACAAAAGGCGTGTTCGGTACTCGGTAGGAAGAAAAATAAGTGAATTTGATTTTATTCATTTTCTTGTGTTTGATACGTAAGCTAAAATTATTACCTTAAAAATATTTGTATATATATTTAGAGGCAATTAACACGTTTTGTAAATGATACATTGAATTCAATGACAATTAACTAATCTCTGCAAAGATTTTAGCGCAATCTTTGTTAATATGCCGCTAAAGTGGTAGGAGAAAATGAAAATTCCAAAATGGAAAAATAATTGGATTTAGAAATAGCAATCCCCGTGAGGTTCCAATAATTTGTTCCAAACATTTCTTTATTCTTCATCATGGAATATTTTAAAAGATAATTAAACCCCTACTTGTTAAATTTAATTCTCCTTGATTTTCCTTTTAATAGTGTCCTAAATAAATAAATCAACAGAATTTTTTTCTAACAGGAAAAAGAACTTTAGTAAAGAAATTTTCATTTATATACAATTGATGATACAATTTGCAAAACTAACAAACCCCTTAAAAACTTACATGAGCATTGGCCTTTGGCTTTTGCAACCTAGCTAAATTTTTCCTCAAAATAGATTTAAAAAAAAAAAAAAAAAACTGGAGAATCTTAGCAACTCAGTTGGTTGACTATCTGAACTTTCACCTCACTAATAAGGGTTCAATTCTCCATCTTGTAATCAACTGAATTGATTACTAGAAAGCTACTAATTGACTGTATGTTATAACATATCAATCAATTGAACTCTAGCCACTAATCAACCTAACTATTTTATACCTAATGTTGATGGTTAGATACCACACCTTCACGTTGTAGAGGTTCAATCCTTATAATAATTTCTTGTGCTGCTACTTGAGGGTTTGAAATTGTACTTGAATTAGAACTACCACCATTGACAATTTTTTGACAAGTTTCAATGAGGCAATGCCTACAAGTAGGGCAAGAAGAGTGTGAATTGAGCCATTTATCGATACATCGGACGTGGAACCCATGGTTGCACTTAGGCAAAACTCTAACTTTCTCTCCCGCAACAAATTCTGATAAGCAAATGACACATTCAGAGTCGAGCCCTGGATGTTTCAACTCAGTAGTGTATGTTATAATTGGAAACATCTTGAGGGCTTTCTTCTTGATCCCGTTATTTGTCAGCTTTATCGTTGCTGATAGATTTGTAGACATCGAGGATGAGTCTGACTCTGATACCAAACTAGTGCATCTTAGTGCACATCTTATGATTGAATTCAAGCCAAGTGAGCAAATTAAAGCACATAATAGTACTGATAGTACCATCACAACATGTGCATCAAATGTATTGGTGGTGTCCCCTTGTGATAGATCTGTTGGTGCCAAGGTGGTGTCATGGTGGTATTGTGGGGTGGCTGGTAGAAGTAGTCTTCTTGAATATTGTAAATTTTTCATGAAATCTTGAATTAATAAAGTGGAAGTTATAGTTGCCATGGATTTTTTTGTTGTTGTAGAGTGTGTGTTTTCTTTGAAGTGTTGTGCTTTGTTTGTTGGGGTTGAATGAATATTGTAATTGGTAGTTGCTTAGGACAAATTTATAGGGGAAGATGTACTTTATGGGCCAATAATGAAAGAATAATTATTATAATTACTAAGTTTATTTTCCTTAATTAAACAATACTTAAAAAACTTTTCAACCCATATTTTTAATTAATTAACTAGCTTTACTTCTATCTAGCCACTACAAATACCCACGAATGGTATTTTAAAAAATAAATAAATGGCGGAGCCCTCAACGTTATTACTCGCTTAGCTGTTGTTTCATTTGCTTTATGTATCCTGCTATTATGTTGTCGTTATTTTCCTTTTAATCCTACATCGATTACATCTTTTTGAGTCAAGGATCTACTGGAAACAACCTCTCTATCTCACAAATGAATAAATAAGATCACGTATATCCTACCTGCCTCTGACACCACTTGTAGAATTACACTGATATGTCATTGTTGTGTTGGTGGTGGAGCCCTTGTAATGTTTAGGAGTGTTAAGATTCCTATCAAAAGCTACTAAATTATTGTGAATATACCGTCATTTTTTTAAAGGGCAATTCATTTTTACGTATGACTTTTCGGACGTGAATTCAAATTAAGTTGGATAGTGAGGATGCTTGAGATGGCAACGTACAACAGTAGTACATAACATGAGAAAGTGGAATGGTATAACTAATTTTTAATATCAATAATTTTTGCCTTGCCAATTTGGATACTCCACTAATATATTTTTGTGTATGTTAATGGGCTATCTACTCAAGATGGGCCCAGCCCACATTTAGCGTGGAGTAGTCAGCCACGTGGATATTTGCATTATAATGAGGGGCCCATATCTCTAAAACAAATGCTCTTTTGGGCCCAAGAAGGGAGCACCAAGCTTCCTATTCTCCTCATGACATGGAAAATACATACTTTTGTATATTAGTAATATTTTATTTTAGAGGAAACAACATAAAGCATACTATTTATTGGTGCTCCTCGCTTGCCTCTCCTTCTATGTATTTATATTTTAGAATGTATTATGAATTTCATAAATTTTATGTATCTGTGTATTGAGTATCAATTTCATGTATCTGTGTATCCAAAATTAATTTCATCCCGTATATCTAATATTAATTTCATTTCGTGTATTCAATGTTAATTTTATCAGTATATCTGGTATCAAATATCTAGTTTTAGTGTATATATGCATAGATACATGTATCTAGTATCAAAATATGCACTAATACATTTATAGGTATATTTGTGCATAGATATTTGTATATATATATGTATCTGATATTAAAGTATGGAGAGATAAATATCATGACCAGGCAGAAAGAGGAGAGAGAGAGAACCTCTAAATTTGTCTGTCAAGTCGTTTAGCTTAGAATAGTCAAAACAAAAGCGGAGTGTGGGAGCAAAAATAGGCGACAGAGCGGGGGGGGGGGGGGGGGGGTGGGGG